GGCAATCTGTTATGGAATGATCTAGCTCTTGTTTTGGCATGGGCGGTTTGGAATGACCGAAACACTGAACTCCATGATAATACACGCCGTGATCCTCAGTTTACAGTGGATTTCGTTCGCGCCTACTTGCTGGAATTCCAGCGCTGCCAACATGTTGCTGCCTCTATTTCAAAACCAACTGGTCGGGTTGTTTGGCATGCACCGCCACAAGGAGTAGTAAAATTGAATTTTGATGGATCTTTCCACAGCTCTTCGAAGACGGGTAGCTTTGGTGTAATTGCACGAGACTGCGATGGAATGGTTTTAGGAGCTGTTGCAGGGAAGTTGGATACATTACCTGATTAATTTACAGCTGAATGTTTGGCTGCTCTTAAAGCTATCATATGGGCGAAAGACATGAGCTTCAGCAGTATCATTGTGGAGGGAGATGCTTTGACAATCATTCGAAAGGTGACTGCTCCTTCTATGGATCTTTCCCCTATTGGTCCATACATTGTCGAGATTAAACTTCTTAGCTCTTTGTTTGTCTCTTGTTTGTTCTCTTATGTTCATCGAAATGGCAATGCCACTGCCCATGCACTGGCAAGTTTAGGTTCCTCTCTCTTAGAAGAAACAGTTTGGATAGAGGAAGTTCCTGATTCGGTTGTAGATGTGTTTCAAAAAGATTGTAATTGCTCAGCTGTTGAATGAATGAAATCTACAATTGTTTTTTCCTCAAAAAAAAAAACACCCAGTTTTTAATTTGAAAAGATTTGACTAAGAAAATCAACCGCTTGAAAGTAAATTTGAATTTCGGCAAAAAAAAAGTAAATTTGAATTTGAAATGACTGTATAAATTCAAAAAAAAAATTCAAACACAAGAATTCGCATACAAAAAATTAAAAGTTCAAATCCGACGATTTTTGGCCAAAAATTTTCCGAGGATTTAAAGTCTTGGCACAAAAGTCGAATCAAATTAAGGGAAAAAAGGAATTATGAAGTAATTAATTGTAACAAAAAAAAATCCGAACAGTAAAGAGTCGAATTAAATTAAGGGAAAAAGGAATTATTATGAAGTAATTAATTTTAACAAAAAATGAAAAATCCAAACAATAAAGAAGTTAATTACTATTATAATTTTAAGAGTTATTATCAAGTTGATTGTGCACATATGAGGTTTAAGGGTTGACAAGATATTAACATTTAAATTATTAATTGATTAGAAAATAGGCTACATTACATTTTAAACCGTCTCGCCTATGAAGTCCAGAAACTCCACCTAAGGAATCAAAAAACTCCACTGGTGTAATAAATATAAAAGGGAAAATTTTAAAAAAGGGCAGTGTACCATAAATATTTATTGATTGATACCATTTGAAATTAAAATTAACAAGAAGTAAATAGAAATTTTAAAAATTATTAAAGAGGAAATGGTAATGACAGTTTTACCCTTATTATGAAGTTCAATTTTCAATATCTACCCACCACTTTTTTCATCCCCACGTTGAAAACAAGTTGAAAATAATACCGCTTCCGGCAATGCCAAGTCGTCGAATTCCATTTTCGGCGATCACGATGACAGGTTCATGTTTAACGACGTCTTCGGTGGACCCCTAAATACTCATCCGAGTCTCGAACTGCAACCACTCAATTCTCGTCGTTTGATTACAACTCCATTTTAAAGGAATCAAAGCCGCCGGTTTTTGACAAGCCTATTTATGATGACGATATTTTCATATATTAAAAACGTTTGTCTCTCTTTTTTGGGTAGAAACCCAAGCTCTTTCCTTTTTTCTTCCCACAATTCTGTTCATTTTCTTTACAAAATTTTTTTTGTCTTCAACGATTTTTTTTTGCCAGACAATCTTTAAACGATTGGAGTTTTTTTTTTTTAAAAAAAACTATTGGAGTTGAAATTTTTGGCTTTTTCCTAAATTTTCGCAACCTAATTCTTCCCCTTTCTTTCGCATACCTTCGCCGCTTTTCTGCCTCCTTCAATGGAGGTGGAGACGGCGGGCGACCCGCCGCCCTTACATCAAACCCTTTCCTCCTGTGATAAGGGAGGAGTGAAGCGTGTTAGAGCCGAGATGGAGGCCTCGGATGCTGTTACGGAGGCTGTTGTTTCTCCTCACTCAAAACCTGCTTCCCCTATCTCCGATACTGTCATGGGTTCCTATAGGGACAAATTGATGCACAACCAAACTTCCTTTATTGTTGATGATGATATGGAGGAAGGAGAAATCGCTGACGATGGATATGATTCAGATGATGATCAATTCATGGAACGACAAAGAGGGCCAAGTATCCTCCTTACCAGAGAGGACAAAAGACGCATTCGTTCTCCATGGAAACAGGCTTTGATTATCAAGCTTTTAGGGCGTAGCATTGGCTACACCTATTTGTGTAATCGGCTTAAACAAATATGGTCCATTGAAGGCTCACTTCAGGTCATCAACTTAGATAATGGCTATTTTTGTGTGAGATTTAATTCTCTTAAGGAGTATAATTTTGTGCTGACTAGAGGCCCTTGGTTGATAGCTGATCACCATCTCACTATCCGTCGTTGGACTCCTTATTTTCGTTCTGATGAAGCCACCATTGATAGGGTAGCGGCTTGGATTCGCCTCCCTTTGTTGCCTATGGAATTCTTTGATGAAGAGATCCTTAAGAAATTGGCGTCACCTATTGGTAAATTTCTTCGTGTTGATAAGTCTACTACTGAAGCTTCTCGGGGGAAATTTGCTCGCCTGAGTGTTGAGGTAGACCTATCTCAATCACTGGTTCCAAAAGTCTTTATTGGTGGCCGTTGGCAACGTGTGGAATATGAAGGCCTCCGCATGCTGTGTTTTCATTGTGGCAAATTTGGACATGATACTGAAAACTGTCCATTGAAACAACCAGCTCCTACTAGCACTTCTTCTCCTGTTGAGCCTATACAAGCCCCTCCTAAAGTAGCTGAAAATAGGGAACATGAGAAGGAAATGTTCGGTCCATGGATGGTTGCTAAAAAACCCCAAAGGAGAATGTATAAAGGTAAAAAAAATACAGAAACTACTACGGAGGCTGCTCCTTCGGAACCTATTGCGGAGACAGTACATGGTGGAAACTCGGGTTCCAGGTTTACTGTATTGGCCGATGAAGAGATTGCTAATGAGTCTGATGATATTGCTCCTTCCCATGCTACCACACCGTTTTCTAATGTTGTTAAGAGTGCAGGACAGTCACGGGTTTATGATAGAGCTACTCTAAAGTCAAGCCTACAGGCTACTGCAATGTTGGCCAACAAATCAAGTTCTAAGAAACAATCTAAAAATGCCCCTCCTTCGACCTCTTCCCAAATACCTACTGCCCCCAAAATAGCTTCATCCGAGCACTCCCATAGGGATTTAGCTACTTCGTCCACCTTTCGCTTACACCCTTCCTTTAATGCTTCCACCTTGCCTTCCAATCGTTCTTCTCCCTCCCCTCCTACCATTGTTTCCCCCACTGATTCAGTTGATTGTGTTCCCGAGTCTCCCATTACCAAATCTCATCCCTCCCAAAATCTTCCTCATGGCAGTGATGATATTGGTATTGGAGTTAATGGTGCAGCAAGAGAAAAAGGATGTGATTATGAGTGATGATGTTTTTTCTCATGGTGATGATTTGTCAGCTGATTTACTTGTTGATGCTATTGACCCTCTTTGCTGGGTTGAGATGTTGTGTTTCCTCATTCTTTCTTTTATTTCCATGTCTTTAAATATTTTAAGTTGGAATGTTCGAGGAGCTGCTTCTCGGCGTAGTTTACGTAATATTAAGAATTTGATTCGCCTTCACAGGCTTCATATTTTAATTATTCTTGAACCTAGAATTTCAGGGGTTCGAGCGGATGAAGTTTGTCGCAGTATTGGTTTCTCCAATTTTTTTAGGGTTGAAGCTACTGGATTTTCAGGGGGAATTTGGATTTTATGGAACTCAGACACAGTGGGGATTGATATCTTAGCTTATTCAGATCAAATGATTCACACTTTGGTCTCTTTTCATGGCTTTTCTGATTGTCTATTAACAGCAGTATATGGAAGTCTAGATGCCAATGACCGTAAAGGACTTTGGAATTCATTATCGGCGGCAAGCTCCCTCCATTCGCTTCCCTGGCTTATTCTAGGTGATTTTAACCAAGTACTTTCCGCAAATGAAAAACTTGGACGCAAGAGTGTTAACTTAAATAACTGTCAACTTATGCTTGATTGCTTACGCCATTGTAATTTAATGGATCTGGAGACTTCGGGTCCTAAATTCACTTGGGCAAATAATAGAGATATTCATCATTATACACGAGTGAAATTAGATCATGTCCTTGCCAATGAACTATTTCTGGACGCCTTCAAACATGTTCAAGTGAGTGCTTTGCCAAGGACTAGCTCTGATCATCATCCTTTATGTGTTAAGGTTGCTCCTTCTACACCTATTATTACTCCTTCCTTTCGTTTTGAGAATGCATGGGTGTATCATGATAATTTCCTGGATTGTGTGAATAATTGTTGGGTTCAGTCTCCTCCAGCCCTTGATGAGAAATTGCAGCAGCTTTCGATTGCACTCAAACTTGGAGTAAAACCTGTTTTGGGAACATTTACCATCGAAAACGACGAGTCCTAGCTCGTCTTCAAGGACTCCAAAAAAACCTTGACAAATCACCTAATGACTATTTTTTGAACTTAGAGGTTTACTTGATTGAAGAGTATAATATGATTTGTTTTTAGGAAGAGACAATGCTTCGGCAGAAGAGTCGTATTGACTGGCTAAAATATGGTGATTGCAATTCTAAATTTTATCATGCAGCAATTAAGAAAGGCACTAGAAGAAAACAGATTTTGGCTTTAAAGAGGGATGATGATTCTTGGTGCCCGGACCTTCTTGAATTACAGAACATGGTGGTTAGCTACTACGTTAACCTCTATACCGACCCTTCTCCTGATCTTACTCTTGTTCTCCCATCTCTTTGTCAGTCATGGATTCTTTCTCATGAAGATCGTGAAAACTTGATGCTGGACATTTCAATGGAAGAGCTTCGTGCTGCAGTTTTTGACATGAATCCAAATAAAAGTCTCGGTGTGGATGGATTCCCAGTTTTATTCTTTCAAAAAGCTTGGCAGTTGGTTAAATATAACCTTCTATCTCTTGTCCAAGCTGCTCTTCGTGATGGAGAGATTAATCCTGCACTCAATCGAACCTTAGTGGTGCTTATTCCCAAGATTTCTGGTCCGGAAAGAATTTCTCAATTTCGCTCAATCAGTCTCTGCACGGTTCCCCTTAAAATTATTACTAAGCTGTTAGTTGATCGTCTCCGCCCTTTATTGGACAATTTGGTGAGCAGGTCCCAATCTAGCTTTGTTCCTGGGCGTCACACAACTGACAATATAATTGTGGTGCAGGAAGCAATTCACACGATGCGCACAATGAAAAGAAAAGGTGGTGCAATTGCCATTAAGGTGGATCTTGAGAAAGCCTACGACCGCATCAAATGGAGTTTTCTTCAACAGGTTCTTGAGGAAATACAATTACCACCTCCATGGGTGAAACTTATTATGCATATTGTGTCTTCCAATACTTTTTCTCTCCTTTGGAATGGGCAGCAACTACCTTTTTTCTCTTCTTCAAGAGGTATCCGTCAAGGCGATCCTCTTTCGCCATATCTCTTCATCTTGTGTCTTGAAAAGCTAGGGCATCTCATTGATGAGGAGGTTCGGCTCAACCGATGGAAATCCTTACAAATCACCCAAAGGGGTCCTTCACTTTCTCATGTTTGCTTCGCAGACGATCTTGTCTTGTTCGGAGAGGCATCTTTCACTCAATTAGATCTCATGATGAAAGTACTTAATGACTTTTGTGAAGCTTCAGGAGAAAAGGTTAGTCTCGCCAAGTCTAAATTGTTGGTCTCCTCTGATATCTCTCATCCTATTGCTATGGCTTTGAGCAATCACTGTGGAATTGCCCTCACTGAAGATTTTGGAAAGTATTTAGGTGCTCCCATGATACATGGTCGAGTCACTAAGAAGACTTATGATGACATCATTAGCAAGGCCCAGTCTCGTTTACTTTCTTGGGGCAATCAACACCTTTCTATGGCTGGCCGAGTTGTTCTCATTCAATCAGTTATTAGTGCTCTTCCTTCTTACATTATGCAGACAACTCTTTTACCTAACAATGTTCTCCTTGAGCTGGAGAAATTGATGCGTAAATTCCTTTGGGGTAATGATAGGGGTAACCGTAGTCTCTATGGAGTTTCTTGGGATAAAATTTGTCTTCCCAAAGAGCGAGGTGGTTTAAATCTACGTGACCTGCACAAAACTAATCTTGCTTTTCTTGCAAAATTAGGATGGCTTATTCTCTTCAATTCTAAGGCCTTATGGGTGGAGTTGCTGCAAAAGAAATATTTGCGCCAACATGATTTCCTCTCCGTTCCTAGCAAGCCAACAGATTCTTATACTTGGCGTAGCATTCTTAAAGGCCGAGAAGTATTAGTAATGGGATTGGGCATCAACATTTGCAATGGCAAGAGTACTCACTTTTGGTTAGATGATTGGATGCCTGATAGCCCTCTCATCTCCCATGCTACTCGACCTATTTCTAATTTTAAAGCTGAGTTAAATGTTGCTGCTTATTGTGATGAATACGGCTCTTGGAACTTCTCTGAATTATATGATCTATTGCCAGGTGAGATTGTTTCGAAAATTGCCGCGATTTGGATCAATACAGAAGATAGTGATGAGGATTCCGTTTACTGGAAGCTAGAAAATGATGGTACTTTCTCTTTGAAATCTGCCTATGAGGTTCAGATTCAACCAGTTGGGTTATCTCCTTTACCATGGCGTAAGGTCTGGTCACTACCTGGACCGAGTAAAATTAAAGTATTTGTGTGGCGTATTCTTCATGATTCACTCCCAACTGCAGCGTTCCTTCATCACCGACATATACTGCCTCATTCTAGATGTTTTATTTGTTCTTCCAGTAATGAGTCTATCATCCATGCCTTACGAGATTGTGTTAAAGCCCGACATGTTTGGCTTTCTCTCCGCCCAGACCTTGTCACTGGGGATTTCTTTTCTTTGGATATCAATAATTGGGTACTATTTAATTGTTGTTGCAGGGATATTTTCCTCGGCATCCCATGGAATCTCATCTTCATCTTCTCGATTTGGTTTCTCTGGTTTTGGCGTAATAGCCTGCTACACGATCCAGCTTTCATTTGGCCTCCACTAAGCTCCCAATTGATCTTTACTCGTGCAAAAGAAGCTTTTGATGTTTCTAATCTTCTCTCATATCGTCTTAAGCAGGAAACTCTAGTTGGTTGGAAAATGCCTTAAGGGCATAGTGTGAAGATTAATGTTGATGGCAGCTCTCGCGGCAACCCATGTGATTCTGTTGCCGGTGGTCTCCTTCGAGGAAGCAATGGTGGTTGGCTAGGGGGCTTTACCTTTCGTGTTGGAGTCTCCACGATCATGATTTCAGAGATATGGGCTATATATCATGGTCTCTTATTAGCTTGGAACAATGGTCATCGAGATGTCTATTTGGAATCTGATTCACTTGCTGCTATTTCTCGTATTAATTCACTGGTTACTACCAAGGGCCCTCACCACAGATTAATCTCTGCAATTCGAGAATTAATTGCTCGCCCATGGAAGTGTTCTATCAGGCATGTTTATCGGGAGGCTAATATGTGTGCTGACTGGCTGGCTACTCACTTTGATCATCTCTCTCTAGATCTTCATATCTTCACCACTTCTCCTCCGGAACTCTCATCGCTGCTAGCAGCTGATGCCCTAGAAATAGTCTGGCCAAGGGCCATATGATGTTATTTTAGTATTATCTGTTCTTTCCCTTCATATATATATATAAAAAAAATAATTTTTGGCTTTTAAATAAGGGTAAAAATGTCATTACAATCTCCTCTTTAATAATTTTTAAAAGTTTCATTTCCTTCTTACTAAATTTAATTTGATATATGGTACCAATCAATAATAATTGTTGGTAGACTACCCTTATTTGAAATTCTCCCCAAATAAAAACTCAAATTCTAAACCCTATTTATTTACATTTTGTGATTTTGATTCTTAAAAATTTTCAAAATCAAAGCACGACGAGAATTGATTAAAATGACAACCTTACCTCAAAATGGATGGATCGGATTCGGAAGGAAGGGTCGTGAACAGTTTAGCTTTGTAAATTCTCATTCAGTTTTACATGTAAATCCAGGATTTAGAACAGAATAATTGGGCAGATATAAACACGGTTAAATGGAGCGTCAACAGTTAAAAAAATACACCCCAAAATGAGCTCATTAAAATGGAAATTTCATATTTTCATGACAAGAAAACCACTCAGCTCTCCTACTTTTAACATTTCTAATATCTCACTCTGTGAGGGGAGTTCCACTTATCTCCAACCTTTTTCTTCCTTCTGCTTCAATCAAATTTTCTTGGTCAGATGAGGCATGTTAAACCACCATGTAAGGATTTGTTTCACAAGCTTCTTGCAACCTTTTCGTATAAATCACGGGGCCAATTCTGATGCATATTATTTGCAAGGAAGGTTGCAATCTGCAAAGAGCAAGACACGATTATATTCCTATCATGAACCAAACCAATCATTTCAACTAAAATAAAACCAATCCAATCCAACGGAGGAATTGAGCGAGCTTAAATTTAATACCTTTGCTCTCATAGCGCGAAGTGATCCATCTGTATCGGGTACATTTTCCAAACAAGTTAGAGCACCCTTTAGAAGGTCCGGGACACAAGCTTGGACATGCGGAGATAATCTCTGAAACACGTCAGGTGTAATATCAGGTCCGCGTGGATCCAATGGTAGGAATGGAAGCTTGGCAACTTCCCTTAGAGCATCAAGATACTGCCCTTGTCTTGTTAACTTGTGGATAAACAGTATTGCCTCGAGCTGTCTCAATACAGTTTCTTGCTCCATAACCTGTTCTCTCTCTTGGGGACTGCACAATAAATCCAAGTTGCCAAGAAATAAATTAAGGAATTCAAATGAATTCTACAAGCATTTATCACAAGTTAGGATCATACTAAAAGTAAAATTCCAGCCAAGATTTGACATCAAATAAGTACATGCTAGTATTTGGAACAGCCAAATTTAATAAAGAACAAGTGAATGCATGGATTGCGAACAACCTGACTTCAGGATAATACTTAAATGTCTCCAAGATCTCATTGCCAGAATGAATGAGGCCAGCAGTTCGACTCTCACCATCCAATCTACCACGTGATAAGGCACAAATAGCATCTGAGAGGCACTTATTTATTGTATCCAGTGCTATTGAAAATGCCCCAACTCTCTTCTGAATTTCTATAGACTGAATTGGTACAAAGAAATTAGAGGGAAAAAAAAATCAGTTCAAAAGCGCAACCCCCAGTTTAAATATTATAAAACACCAAATGATTTAGTACATGAGGATATAATATGGCAATCAGACAGCCATAGTATGTTTCGGACAAAAAGGTGACTAGTCAAAACCAAGAGATATTAATGGACAATCTACGAGAGAGGGATATGCACAAATACTCCAAGGACCCAGGACAATTACAGCTTGGATTTGTCTATACCAAATTTCAGCTTCAGTTAAAAAATAAATAAATAATAATTTGCACTTTTTTATGTGGTACCAAAGACATAATCATTGAAGAAGCAAAGAGAGAGAAAGAGAATTACTTTGTCATACAGTCCAGCATCTTGACATTGGCGAGCAGCTTCAAGCAGAAACTGTTGTCTTGCTTTATGATCAGTCAAAAACCTTTCCAATTCTCCTTCCTCTCCAGCACCTCTGGAACCAAGTAAAAGATAAATTCCACCATCCCTTAGCAGTAGCTCAGTAAGAAGCTGCTTCAGCATCAAGCTCCTCTGCCTTTGCTGATCTGCATTACCTCTGCCCGTCCATGATACCTGTCCACCACCGACTGCAGCAGCAGCTTGTGCATAATATTCTAGTGCCAGTTGAAGGTCACCAAGCCGTAAATACATAGATCCATACTGCCTAATAATGCTGGATGCTTCAGCGTATGCATCCATCACCCCTAGTTTTTTTCCAGCTCCAGCGCCTTCAGATAGGACCCCATAGTCTGCTAGCACAATTGCTATGTGGGCAGCATCAATATTATATCCTTCATCCCCTGCTTCTTTAGACAAGTATGAAATAGCCGGTAGCAACTGGATACTTAGAAGCAAGACATACGGGTATACTAGAGGGTCCTTTCCATTCTTTGTATAATATGATGGCTCAAATTTGTTTAGGTAAGCTTGCAAATCATCAAGACTGTATGGTACTAAACCCTCATTAAGAATAACAGATGAGGTTCCACCAGGTAAATCGCGGACAGCTGACAATATGAACCATAGGAAATCCTCTATGGTACTGAAAAGTGATGGTATATCTCTAAGGAGGCGGTCAATTTGCCTGCGAGAACCAGATACGATAGCATAAAGCAACAATTTTTTCTTGTCATATGTAGCTCGACCAACCCGATCACCCATTCTAAACATCTTTTCACACTCTTCCGCAGCAACTGCTGCAATGTCTGCTGGCACCATACCACCACTATTAATCCACTCTGTAAGCTGTCAAAAAATAGAAGTACCGAGTAAATTATATGTAATAAGTTATGGTGATTGTAAAGCATGTTGAATTAACCACTAAATTGGTACCAGTGGCGCAAACTGGTGGGACGCACGGGATGATAGAGAAATTTGCCTTGCTTCCTCATAGTAGCCAGTCCTCAAACAAAAATAAATCTGTTACAGAAAATGATGATTTTAGTGAAACTTAGTCATTTGGAAAGAGAGACCAGGATAAAAGTGAATTGAAGTAAATCACCCTCCAAACCCCACCCCACTACCCCCTCCCCCCTCCCAAACACCCCCACCACCCAAATCCAAACTAAAATACTAAAGGCACCTTGAACAAAAGAGGATACAAGTAATTTTTTAATATATATATAAAAAAAGCAAATTAAAATGGAAGATAAATTCAAATAATTGAAAATCAAACTGCGTTTCATTACAATAATAAATCTCTCGACAGACTATAGGTCAGAAGTCTAATAAATTTCCAGATATCATACAACTACAGAGACAGTATGTTTACAACATATGCTTCAAAACCAGCAAACTATAAATGCTACATGTCAAAACAAACATATTGGAAGGAACATGTTCTTGACATAAACATTGAAATAATAACCGAATACTATCTAATACTGACAGAACATATAACCCAACTCATGACTGGCTAAAAGACTTGTGGTTTCGTC